AGGCCTGAAATATATAAATGATGAACAATTCAAATGTATTTATTCCTCCTGTCCTGTCTGAATTACACTGAAACAACGAGGCAAAGTTTCTTACCCAGGAGACGCTGCTTTTCTTTGAAAATGGTCTTAATGATTGAGGATCTTTTGATCCAAACAATCACATCCCGGATCCTTGCTGACCACTTAGAGATAGCTTGCACATTGTACACCTTTTGAGCCCCAAGGTTTAGAGAATGCGCAAAGCATCCAAGCTTTATTGTTTGGAGCTGTCGTACAACCACATCCATATTTGGAGCGTTGTCTACAGTTACGGCAACGACCTTCTGTCTTACCCCAAATTCAGCCAGGACTTCTTCTATTTGTTCAGCAACAACAGGCCCGCTCTGAGACTCATATACTGCCTGTGTCTTAAGGACTTTCTGCTTCAACTGGCCTTTGTTAATGTAGTGGAGCGTGACCGTTATGTAGTGGTCCTGCGTACAACACACCAAGTGTCTCCATCATTGCCCAATGTGCGTTGAAGTCTCCCAGCAAGATTAAAGAGTCCCCTTCAGGAGCCCCATACAGGACTCTTTCCAGGGTCTCCAAGAAGGCGTATACTCTGAACTGCGACCCTCTCGTCCACTGGGGTAAACTCCAACAAGAGCACCCAACCGGGGACTTGTGAGTATCCCCACACCCGCCCGGCGCCTCACACCTTGAGCAACTCCGGAGAATAATAGAGTCCAACCCCTATCCAGAAGTAAGGTTCCAGAGCCGACGCTGTGCGTAGAGGTGAGCCCAACCAGATCCAACTGGTAACGCTCCACCTCCCGCACAAGCTCCGACTCCTTCCCCCCCAGAGAGGTGACGTTCCACGTCCCCAAAGCTAGCTTCTGTCGCCCGGGTCTGGTCCGTCGAGACCCTCTGCCTTCACTGCCACCCTTCTGGCAGCGCACCCGACCCAATCGCTGTTTCCCGTAGGTGGTGGGCCCGCGGGACGGCGGATAGTGTAAATAGCAAATCCTGCTTCGTAGTACAGGCCACTGGTGCCGCAGAGATTTCATAAAGTGAAGGAGGTTTTCCTTCTATAAAACAGCTATGGGCAGCAGATACTGTGAGTCACGGACAGGAATCCCTCAATTTAAATAAAACGAGGCCACGCTTTATTAACTCGTGCCAACGAGAAAGTAAAACGTGGCCACGTTTTATTTATTTTTCTCTCAATTAACCCTCCAGGGCTCTGTACAGCATGGCAGTTTAGCGTCAGCTTTTCAGCATAAAGCATTCCCACTAGCAATGTCTTCAGGAATTGCATTCTCTAGTTTCCCTAGTCCTGCTACAGCTTTAGTTAAGTGTCAGCTGAATGTAATGTAATCAGGTCACCAGTTTAATATGTAGAATGTTGTATGTCCCTTAAAAAAGTCAAAAAAGCTCTCTAAAAAAAAGTTCATTAGCTTGGTCATTAAATGGACAATAAATTAATTGTTCATTCAAAAGATACTTTTATGCTAGACACCTCTCTAATGTCTGTCTGCAAACCATTGTTCTTATTTTAAGCACCTTGCACAATCCATTTTAAGTCGACTTAAAATGGATTGTGCAAAAAGTTATTATTCTTCAGTACCATCCTAAATGTTTGACCGCCCACTTCTTTCTTCCATCAGGTCTCCAGTTCAAATTGACTGCCTTTTTTGTGCGCTGTCAGATCTGAGTGAATACTTTGCTAAATGTTGTTATAACTTATATATTGTTGGTGTTTTCTAAGATTTCATGTTCTCTGTGCCTATCCAGATTTTTTTCTGGTGCCATTTCATACAGTCATGCCATGCAGGCCTCTTCCCTCATGAATTGCAACATTTTGAACAGAGACCAGGCAGACCTATACAAAATGAATACCATTGTTGGTTTGATTTATTACCAAACAGTGACATTTTGAATCAATTTTTTAAAGAGGAAGAATACATTGTCTGAGCCTCGCATTTGCATTTTAATGTTTGTGACTTGAGAGTGAAACACTGGAGGGTTGCCTGACCCATTTAAACATCCTTCTCTAAGAAGCACATGTAAGAGAAAACAAAAGCAGTGCTTGAAAATATAACAAGAATCTGCAGCAGCTCACTATTCCCACATGGCCGGTACTACTGTTTCATTTGGTGACATGCCGCCACAGGCCAATGGCCACCAGGGTTACAGTGAGGGCCGCCAAATGCTGCACATGGGGATCATCTGGGAGCTGCAGATCTAGGCTCAGTACCCCCACGACATCATCCAGGGAGGAGGCTGTAGAGCAAAAGATCTCCCAGCGACAAGCAGCTCTGACAAATAATTCACATCAAACACCTCTACTCTATTTCACACACTGCAAGCTTTCATTCATCCTGGAAAACATGCCACTGTGATGTCGGCAGAAGTCGGGAGTTTGACTTGAGTGAAAGAGTTTTGCAAAGAAAGAAGAGAGAATATCATTCAGCTGTTGATTTCCTCAGGGCACTTGTTATCAATGTTTTAAAAGCAGAAGTACATTTTTTAATGTTTAAAAAGGCTAAAACTAGAGCATGTGTTCCTGTCCTCACTTTGCTCAGCTCTCATGGCTCCGTGCAGAGAGAAAACATAAAATCTTCTTCATGCAGGGAGAACTATCCCAGTAAATGTGATGATTTATTCAGAGCCACTTCTCTTCATCATCCACTTCCGCAAACTACCTTTATCACTGGTTGGGATGTCGCTAAAGTTTGACATGTTGTGGATTTTCTCTGCTTTCACAGGTGCGTGCTTCAAAGCCAGACAGAAGGGTATTTGTATTCAGCGTTGAGAGATCAACATCGCGTCTCGGCTGGGGAGGGGGAGGGTCAGATTTACATTCTCTCCGTGGGCAGGCGGAATTTTGACTCCAGTCGAAAAGGCCATGTTCAGTGTCAGGGATGAAGATGAAGCTCCTGCACCCTATGCAGCAACAGCTTTGGAGGAAAGTTAGGCATGAGGCAGTTAACTCTTCAAATGGAGGACAGACAGAACAGTATGTTAAAGGTCCCATGTCATGGCCATTTCTACTGATCATAATTTCATTGTTGAGGTGTACTAAAATAGATTTATACTGTGCAATTTTCCAAACTCGCATTGGTTTCTCATACAGCATCTCTGTAAAGTATGTGTATTCACCGGTATTCACTCTCTGTCCTAAACGGCTTGTTCGAGCTCCTGCCCCCCCCCCCCCCCTCTGTGAGCCCAGTGTGCTCTGATTGGTCGAGAAGCTGACAGGCTCGTTGCTGCTCGCACACACACAGACACACACATTGTTGTGGGCTGCTGCAGGAGCAGACAGGCTTGGCGATACAGCTAGAACAAGCTGAATTCAATTTTTCGATACTCTTATTGTTACTTTTCAATAATTTGGTGCTCAAAATTATAGACATGAATACAAGATGTGGAGATTAAACAGTCAATTTATTGTAATTTTCTTAGAAATAACTGTATAACTGATACATTAGCTTCTCAGAAGCAGACACAAATAAAAAAACTTAAAGGGGCTCACTTTTTGGGGTTTTCCGTCAGACAGAGGATGAAAAGAGGAATTTTTTTAAACATTAATGCATGAAAATATGTACCGGATTGAAAACTAAATACCCCAAAAAATGGATGCTGCACTCAACAGTTTTTGTTTAAAAAGATAAGCATTTTCACTTTCTCCTGGAGAAGCCGAGATCTCTCCTTACTGAGAGTGTTGCCAGCTGTGGAGAACACTCTCTCAGAAGGCGTTGAGGAAGCCTGAACACAGAGGTAGGGGCTGGAGAGCCGAGAGAGGATAGGAAAAGTTTCCTTCTTTCTCCACCACCAGTGGGCAGGGTCTTCTGATGTAGGGATGGGAAGGACGGGGCCTCTGTAGACTGACAGCTCATTCCTGATGTTCTCGAGGATTGTTGGCGCAGTTTTTTCCTGTTGAATAAGGCTCCTCCGCAGCTCTTTATCATCTTCAGCGAGGAGTTCCTCCAGTGCAGAGACCCTGGGTTTCTTGACAACATGACGCTGTAATATAATATTTACCAAGTAAATGTAGTCAGGCTTATTGCTTTTGTTAGAACATTGGTATTACAGAATCATGTCTTACTTACATTTTCCACCTCCTCCCCTTCATACTCTTCATCCTCTTCCACTTCCTGAGCCTCCACTGGCACTGTATCCTCGTCTCCTAACATCTGAGACGTATTAATGTTGCTATGCACATTATTGCAATAAAAATAAAAATACACTTCGTAAACATTGCAAACTATTTCTTAAATATTTAATTTTGATAAATACTTACTTCCCTCAATGCTGCTGCCTCCAGTCGTTCCCAAACTTCATCAGTACTCAGCTTTACCTTGAATCTTGGATCCATAAGAGTTGCCTCCTCCAGAAAGGCCATTATGTCATGATCCTGTACACAAGAAAATAATAACACTTCACATAACACTTCACAGTGAGTGAGGGAGGGTATATATTGTTACTCATTATTAGGGAAAGATATGCAGCTGTACCTGGTAACGTTTGGAGAGTTCACCCCAGACTTTTTCTTTTACCGTGGCCACAAATGTGGAATTCTCCTCTTTAATGGTTCAGTTTTTGCAGAATAGGAATGATCTGGCCACATGTAGAAGACTTGTCGCTTGACACACTCATTTTCTTCATCCTGACAACAATTACATATTTTTTTAAGACCTATTATAATAACATTATTATGTTTGCTTAGACCATTAATTAATTAATACCTGTCTCTCTTCATGAGCTTTTTGGCACGGGGGTGCAAGAATGCTGCTTGTATTGCAGGGTATTGCTCCACAAATCTCTCCACCATGAGATAAAGAGAATTCCACCGGGTTTTTACATCAAGGACCACGGAATGGTCAGGCAGGCCTGAAATATATAAATGATGAACAATTCAAATGTATGTATTCCTCCTGTCCTGTCTGAATTACACTGAAACAACGAGGCAAAGTTTCTTACCCAGGAAATTGTACACCTTTTGAGCACCAAGGTTTAGAGAATGCGCAAAGCATCCGAGCTTTATTGTTTGGAGCTGTCATACAGCCACATCCATATTTGGAGCGTTGTCTACAGTTACGGCAACGACCTTCTGTCTTACCCCAAATTCAGCCAGGACTTCTTCTATTTGTTCAGCAACAACAGGCCCGCTCTGAGACTCATATACTGCCTGTGTCTTAAGGACTTTCTGCTTCAACTGGCCTTTGTTAATGTAGTGGAGCGTGACCGTTATGTAGTGGTCCTGTGTAATACTGGTCCACCCATCACTCGTAATAGCAACTTTTGCCACACTGGCAAGCTCTGCCCTCAGGTTCTCTTTTTCGATGTTATACCAAGCAGGTATTAGTGTGTTGGTCAGTGTGTCTCTGGAAGGGGGGTAACCTTTAGGGTTAAGGGCTGTGGTCATCTCCCTACAGTTGGAAAAATAGCAACAAGCATACATATTTAATTATACACATGTATATTGTAAGTTATTACATCACTTAAACTGAATACCTTACTACACTCTCTGTAAATAATATGTTACATCTTTGCACTTCTGGTTATATGCTACCTGCCAATACTCTATGCTCTAGATTTTTCAGAACATCCAATTTAAGAAGAAGTAACATAGAGTGCAAGAATGCTCACAACGTCGTAGTCTGCTTATATTCAACACAGAAGCAAACGTTGGGCAAGTCAAAACTAGGGCTAACTGACTTCCGGTATGATGGTGGAGTGAGAAGAAGCAAGTTAACCAACTCTCTCAGGTCGGTCCCGAATAAACCCACGAAAGTGAGCTACTCGACGAAAGAAAGTAAGAAATGAGTGGACAAAACAATACAAAAAGCCGGAAATCTAACAAAAAGCAAGAAAAATTAGGGGAACAACCCGAAATGGACGAATCCGCCGAAGCTAGCGAACATGAGGGAGAGCTAACAGAGACACCGGAGCCACGGGATTCATTTCATTTCATTTCAAACCTTTATTTAACCAGATTGGTCCCATTGAGATCATAGATCTCTTTTTCAAGGGAGACCTGCGGGATACCGCAGATATGCTACGTGCTGGGCTGGCAGCTATTAGCAATGATATCCGAGAGCTCAAGCAGGATCTACGACACCAGCTATCCACTTTTAAAGATGAACTGAAGAAGGAAGTGAAAGAAGAAATCAATAACCTCCGGCAAGAATTATATAGTAAGCTCACAGAAAATCAAAACAAACTACAGACACAGAAAATGTGTGTTAGCGAAGCCCAGACACGCATAGCTGAGTTAGAAGAGTGGCAGTCAGTGGCTAACGCTGCACTGTTGGGAATGTCGGATCATACACGGCAGATGCAAGACAAATTAACGGACCTGGAGGGAAGAACAAGAAGAAACAACATCAGGATCTTTGGCATACCGGAGGATACAGAGGGGAGCTCCACCGGTAAATACCTGGAACGACTCCTCAGCACTGAACTCGAACTCTCCGATGGACCCCCTCTCCAGATCCAACGAGCCCACCGCGCCCTCGGTCAAAAGCCGCCCCCCGAGTGCACCTCCAAGATCAATGATAGTGAACTTTCAAACGTACAAGACTAAGGACATGATTCTCAAGAAAGCATGGCAGAAAAGGATTAAAGTAGGAGACAGGCAAATCTTTTATCATGATTATGCGACAGAGATCATGCAGAAAAGGAAGGCATACTCTGGTATTAAAACTATCTTGAAGGTAAAG